TGAATTTCAAGATAAAGGAACCTGAACGACTCGAAACATGTTTCTTATAGGTTTTCGACAATGCTCTTTCCAGTGGCATCATTTTTAAATATTGAGAAAGTTTTCTGAAGGGTTTTCCAGAGACTGGGTCTCTGGAAAACTCCTTAAAAAAGCTTTTCAAAGCCCAACTCTCATGGCATTAGAAAGAGGATCATGAAAAACCTATAAAAAAATGGTTCATGAAATTTTAGTTCACTCATAAAGCTAAAGTCCGCCTGCTCTAGCAAAAAATGCCCATTGTGCGCATTGTATGTCGCTAGTTTATCGGAATGTATCAAATTAGACGACATAGCAGCTGTTAAAAGATAGAAAATAGCGCTTATATCTCAAAAACTAAATATGAGCTCTCAAAAATTCCCAGATCCCTCGTGTATAAAAAGATAAATATCTATTCACTTCCGCTGTTTTGACAATAAGTTCTATCGCTAGTAGCTGGATATATGCACTTGTTGATCTCATTAAATACACATTCTCTACCCTACCCGATTAGAGCATTCTGGCACCTCCCGCTTGATTTCAATATATACAGAGCACTAGAAAATTCGATTAATATTATGAATTTTGTATATCTTTTATAGTTGCGACACTAGAGTATCTAACTTTCGCAGTCAATACATGCTTTATGAGCTATCCACTTACGACGAGCTTGATTTTAAGACAACAGAAGTATTAAAAAAGAATATAAATCATTTTTCAATACTACTAACAGCTGCTACGCTTTAATCCATTCACTTTTTTTTTTCTAAACGTATTTTTCATGGCTGGCGACTTGATGATGTGAACAAAATGAGATATGATTCACAGGCTCTTGAGACCAGCTTTCTCGCAATAATAAGAAATTTTGCTGGAAATGACTAGTTATTGGTGAAAAAGAACAACGTTTTGAGAAGCGATAGACTGCAGCTTTTGTTTGTGAAGTTCGGTAACGGAAAGGCGCATAAACCTGCGAAACGTCTCATTTTGTTCGCAATCAAACGGGCTATCTTGTTACGTAGTTGAAAAAGGTTTAATAATAAAAGACAAAAATTTCTTCTAACTATGGTCCGTTATTGTCCATATCATCTAAGTTGAACTGCGATCCCTGCACGGGAATTGCGTAGTTTCTTTTCTTTTGAAAATAAAATGATTGAATATCAAACAAATTCTGAGTAGCAGGACACTATTAATAATAATTACGAGAAGTATATGTTTTTTTGACATTGTCTTTGAAGCATTTCGTTTTAATAATGTGAATTGTAATTTGTCGCCCTCTATCCTACTTGCTTGTGATTAGTGAGCACATCACCATTATGAAACAAAAGAATGAAATCGTTTTTCTTCTTAAATTTCTTGTTAAACAAGATGGCGAAAAATGATTTTTCTGTTTAAGCTTAGCCCGTTTTTCTTATTGTGAATGAATATCGATCTCCAGTGTCAAGTAAAATATGTCTTATTTTCTTATAAATTCTTATCATAAGAGCGTCACCATATCTATTATCACATTCTTTTCTCAATTTGTTTTGACCCATCTACAGAAGAAATTAAACGAATAAGTGGAAGGACGTAGCTTGAAATTTGGTAATTTCTTGTCACAAGACCTTAAAAGATGAAACAGATACTCAAAAATATTATTATTAACTGCCGGTAGTGAGATGTTGTAAAAACTATAGGCCCATGATTGGGATCTATATGGTCATTAGGGCGATAAAACACTTGCATGATGTTTAGATCTTATACAGCCAGCTTTCCAGAAATATAAACAGATGCGATGATAAAACATGTCAGACCGGGCCGATTTGTAAGAAAACCTCGAAACCTTTTCTTGTAAAAGAGTTACGCGGTACCCGATATTCGCAGATTATGGAGATCGAAATTCAACTTTCTTCTGTTAGAAAGTAATCCAACATTTAGCTAATATGTTAGGGAAATGGTTTATTTCCACTGAGTACTCTTTTATGAGAATTCAGTCGAAGGACTGAGTTATTCCGAAGCTATGTCATATTTCTTCTGTCAAAAAGTAAGACATGAGAATACTATAATACGTTACTTATTTACATGCGTACTTTACGCATGTTGAGCTTCTTTTCTGTAAAACTTACTAGGCCTCTAGAACGGAGCTGGACTAAGCAAGTCAGATTTGACATCACTTGTAATTTGAAAAAGTCCTAACATATCCAACTCTGCTCTAGAATTCGGAAACAGATACATCTATTTCTCTATACAAAAGAAAATGAAAAGAACAGCATGGAAAATAATTTGTTCAATCTCCCGCTGTTATTGGCTCATTTTTGATCAAATTAAGTAATTATTTTCCCTTCAGATCTGAACGATGTTTTTCTATTCCGGTATGTAAAAAAATCCAACACTTCATAGTGGTATCCAGCAAAGGACTCGATTAAAGGCCCCGATGTATATATGCATGTTATTCAAATGGGAAAGTATAGAATGAGGCGTTATTAGCAATAAATTCAATAAAGTGTTTTCCATGCTACTCTTGTCATTTTCTTTTTTTATTGAAAAATAGAATGCGTAGTGAATGTCAATAGAGATATATCTCCTATATACGTATACCTATATTCCAACGCTAGAAGTCAACTACAATAGAATAAAAATTGAGAGACACCGACGTGATTTAAGCTAATTTTTTCCGTAGATTCACCTTTTAATTTCTGTACAGAAATTGCACTGACAGCAAAATTAACGACTGGCCCTTGTATTATGTCTACACGAGACAACTGTCACCCAGATGCAGTATATAACTACTATCTATCCATTTCAAAATATAAGACAGGTGACTGTTCTTTGAATAAGTCTAGAAAGAAAAGCGGTAGAGATTTGCGGTTTCCACTCCATAACCAAGATTTTAGAGCATCTTTCATAAGCAGAAGTGTTTTGAAATTATTTCTCAAAATCCGCTTTTCTGATGGACCTCTGAAAAATCATTTCATAATCCGAAAATCTAGCATAGCAAAATATTAGTTTTTCTTCGCGGTTAGATAGTCCAAAGTGTCCTCTTCAAAATAAGAACTAAGGGACTTGTTAATTTTTTGTGCTTTAGGCGTAATAACAGACAGAGCATGGCAAGTAAAGTCAAGTCAGCCTTGACCTGGCGAAAGCTTTTAATGACTCTGACTTGATTTGACTTGAGAAAACTGCTTTTGGTCTTTTTAATTGACTTGACTGAATTGGAGAATGTTGTTGTTGACTTGACTTGAGACTTGAAAAAGTCCTGATTTGCGCAGCTCTGCTATCAGATTCCCTGAGAGCTACCGAATCAATATCTTTTTAGTTGCGGTACTCTCAAAAATCCGTGGAGACATAGATTATCGGTCAGGCTGAGTCTCATGACACTGCTTGTTTTTCGAAAAAAGTTCTAGAAACCTAGTGGAAACCTATATTAGGTAAAATAACCCATTTTTGCCTATTTTCGCGTGAAATTGGAAAATTCATAACTCACTCAAGGTCGATCCAAACTATATCAAAATACTAAGATATCCCTCTCTTATCTGCACTATAGCATGGAGTTAAATAAAACTTTTAAACATCGTTAGAAAATGCTTCGGTTTTTGAGAAGATTTTCTAGAAATCTACCAAGTTCTCATTTTGTCACGATTTCTGACAAATTTTTGTTTTTTTAAACTTTTTCACGATGATAGAAAGAAACAAAGAGTGACCAACGAAGTTCTAATCAGCTTCTCCGCTCAAATTATCATGTGTGATTGATCATGTCTGCATCAATACTTAAGAATATGCACACCACTATTGCTGGTGTATTTGGACAGGAACTCGCCATTAGTCGCTAATGTCTGCAAATGTACCCAGACCTAGACCCAGCATATCGATTCATTCTTTTTTCTCTTTGTGGAGTCCTTTTCTTCTCCATCGTTTGTTTTTTATTTTTCTCTTTCAGATGACGCACAATACTTCTGCTCATGTTCGAAAAGTTGGTGGTAAAGTTAGAAAAACTATAACGACAAACTCAAAACATTTTTGTTCTATGTTTTGCAGGTGTTCGATTTGCTGCCGATGCTATAGATTCATCAAACAAACATGAAGAAAATCCACATGAGAACGGTATTCATTTTTTTATTGTTGTTTTTCGTCTTGTTACTTCTTTCTCTTTTTACTAGTTGAATTGGACTGGGAACGGCGCTATGATTCTGGTGAACGTTCGTATGATTTATATTTTGGCGTTTTGAAACTTTCTCATAGTTATACAATGACGATGGATGTTATTTTCCATCAATCTCCTGTCGAACTAGAGGCAATTCTCGACGATCAGCATAAAGACGGATTGCAAGTTTTGGTGACAGAATTACCACATTCAAATTCCGAAAATCGAACCATTTTTCAAGTTGAAGTTGTAATTAACGCCGAAACAGTGCCTGGACCTTTTCAGCGAACCATTTTATTGAGAGAAAAATCGACACCGGAAGAAAGACCTGTTACAGTAACTGTGAGTGGAAAAATATTGCGTGAAGGCCAAGGAACAGCAACGTTGAGACATGGAGTTCATATGAAATCACTAACAAGAGAAGAAAAAGAGGATGATACTGAAGATGAGGACGAAAAATGACAGTAGAACTATTTTTAGCGTTCTTGAAAGGAAGATTGATGACAACAATTAACAAAAATACGTGTGTCATCTTTTTTACTGTTCACTTCATTTGAATTTGATATCAAAGAACTGAATGAAATGACACGAGTCATGTACTATATAATTTTGTAAAATTCGACAGAGAAACCCATATCACAGACAATTCATTTTCAATCAAGCAATAATATTATCATTATGCATTCGAAGAATACGAAGCCTGCGATGATCCTTTTCAAATGACTGTGATAGATGATGTTGTCACTTGTGTTTCATTTGTTTCTTTTATTACGCTTATTGTTCATGTTTTGCTATTTCACGGTCGTGATATTTTGAAAACAACTTTGAACCTCATTAGAAAAGCAATCAAATGATGTTCATTGCACATTGATGCCAAAATATAAAAAAAAGAAAAATAGAGTAAAGATGACCATCGGTAAATTATAGCGGAGTATGAAAAGAAGTTTTTAACAATAATTACATTCTTTAATACACGTAGAAAATCCATAATTTCTTCTTGTAGTATCCAACGAACAACAGCAGGTGCACATCCCTCTTCTATCAAACATGACTTAAAACTATGTTCTACTTGTTCGAATAAAAATCGTTTGATTAGACATAACCCATACGGGATGTTGTTAACAATCTATCTCATCAGCAGAGACATTAAGTTCATTGGAACAAGAATCATTAAACATTGGAATAAGAATTTAGATTAATTTTAGAATGGATCACTACATTCATTTACTGTGAAACTTAGGAAACGGACTTTTTAGCGGCTCAGTTTTCGAGATAGTTCAAAGTGTTTTCTACAAACTGACAGAAAAGCGCAGATAAGTTCCATCCCTTAATCTTTTCTCAGACAATTTTTTATGTAAGGTAATACTGCTGCTTCCTCTATATAATTATATTTTACCATAGATAAATAAAGCACCAATAACAAAAATAATTCCCACCCAAACTACACCGCCCATCAAATTCGACACAACTAACATATTATTTACCCGATCAGATACTTTTTTAGCATTAACGTATTCTTTGTTTGATTTCATTTTTCGTATACGTTGTGAATGATATAAGGCCAAACATGGACCGATGATGAAGAAACATAGAACAGTCGAAATTAACGCCCATATATAATGATCTTTAACATCATCGGCAGTTAGTGGACGTTCAACCGTCGGTTTTTGTACAGTTTTTCTTATTTTCTTGTTATCGATCGGAATTGTCGATTTAAAGCGTGTATTGAACTTTTCGTGTTCTGTCAATATTTGGGTTGGTTGTAGTATGACGGGATGAGTGCTGTTGTTGTGCGAAGAGTCCATTAGTGTTTATATTTATTTGATTATTAAATAGTGAGCTAAGGAGAAAATCAAGAGCACAATTAATTTTTTTCACGCTTATTGCGTACGAAAATGTTGGTTAATACTTGTTTTACCACGCTTACAGTGTGGATATTTCTATTATGTTTACACTCTTAAACTATACAGTGTTTTTACTTTTCTATTCCTCTCCTTTTTTTGTAAAATCATGTAAGCACAATACAGGTAGATGTGACTAGTTTTCTTCAATCAGATAATCAGCGAATGAATGTAAAAGAACAAAAACAAATAACTAGTATACCTATGTATGCACAGCACGAAAAGCCTGTGCATAAATTTAGCCCTTTTTTGACTTCGTACCAACATAAGTAATTTGTTCTGTCAGGTCTGCTATTCATTTGCTGATCATTTGGCTGAAGAAAATTAGTCACATCTACCTGTATAATGCCTATATAGTTTGACAAAAAAGGGAGAGGAATAGAAAAGTAAAAGCACTATTTAATTAAACATATATTATATCAAGTTTCAACTTCTGTGTCGATCATGTTTAAAGAATTTGTAATTGTGTCACAAAACGAGTTATCAGATATGTATGAATACATTATAATTTGTCACAAGTTCAATTTTATTTAGTCCATGATATTAAAGATGACCAGGTGGTGATAAAAAGTTTAACAGAAAACTTGTTGAAATCATCCTCAACAGGAAAAAGGAAGCAAAAGAAATGAAGAAAACGGCATGGGAAGGAGGCTACCTATTCTCCAAGGTAATCGATACGTTTTCAAAAGCTTATCACTAAACACATTAATAATTTTGTATACTTCTATTCTGCTGGAATAAAATTTGTATGCGAATTATATTGGGTACAATGATCTTTTCTTTCTTTTGATCTGAGACCAAAAAGATAAATAATATGAGATATGAAAAAAAATTAGATATGGCTTTATCACTAAATATAATTAGTCTTAACATCTGAAATCCACCATGAAGGTCGCAATCCAGCGACTTCTGTGCCGGGCACAGGAGGAGCGTTTGACGGAAGGGGTGCAGATACCGCCGTCTGTAAAAAGAAAAGACGAAAGAAACCAACCATGTGCGACCGCCATCAAAAATCTGGAGCAGCAAGAAGCTGAAAATAGACAGCACGTTGAGAATGCGTCTTTGGTTGGCTGCTATACGCTTCAGAAACATGGACCTTAAAAGAAGGGGACAAGAAGAAACTACTGGCATTCGAGCTGAATTGCTACCGAAGGATATTGCGAAGCAAGATATGGTACGAAATACCAACATTCGAACTAAAATAGCGGTACAAGAAGCCATCATAGAAATAATAAAGAAAAGGAAACTAACCCTAGTGAAATTTCTTGTATCCAAGATCTTGACTTCTTGAATTTTTTGATTCAAGATCTTGGTAAGAAAATATAAAAATTCAAGAAATTTCAAGAAGTCAAGATCTTGAACATCTTGTGATTTCTTGACTTCCTGTACCAAGATCTTGAAAATTCTTGAGACATCGTTTTGTTTTACACTCTTGTATAAATATAAGTGCGAATATAAGATAACTTCAAATTATTTTCCTTCTTGACCACAGTTGTTTAAGGAAGAATCTATGACTCTCTATACAGGCGTATATCCCATGGCTACGACTGTAATAAATAAAAACAAAATGTAAAGATATTTGTCACTAAAGCTCTTGGAACACCTTGAATGGATTCACTCAAGACCTTGAGTGAAAGATTCAAGAACCCAAGCTCTTCACTTCCTGGCGTTTTTTCCAAGATCTTGTGACATTTCTTCATTCAAGATCTTGGGTATAAAAAGTTTTACTGGGGGAAGACTGTTTGGCCATATCTGCAGAATGGAGTACAACAGATTACTAAAACACACAGTGCTCGCGAGGATAGATGGAAAATCCAGGAGGGACGACTGTGCAAGGAATGGCTAGACGACATCACTGAATGGTGCAATCGCAACCCTCAGGACCTGTTCCACTTAGCGCAGGACAGAAACCGGTGGAAAAAACTGATCAAAACAACGGTTGGCCCCTGACGGACGATAAGCCCATGGGACATTATGATTATGATTTTACATCTTACCATTAGTTCTTGAAATAAAAGATCGACACACACTCCCACATGAAAGCACCCATAGCATAAATATCTGATTTTTCTGTATAAGATTGACAAGTATTACTTTCGGAGTTCTCTGGTGCTGTTGAACGAACTGGTTTAATTTTAGTGGGAGAATATGGAGAAAAAAGATCATAGAAATGTAGCTGATTAATCACAAGCTGAATGACGTGATTCATTGATCATCTTTAATAGTGTTTTTTGCAAAAGAGTCAATGTGATTTAAAACTATCTTAGGGGCGAAAGACTAATCGAACCATCTTTACGGTTAGATTGGAAGATCCTCAAGTAAGTCCCAGTTTTCTCGAAGTTCTACGGGCAGAGAGCTCACGTTATATTGTTTAATGTCGGGACACTTAGCCTGGTCTACATCATTAGCAATACTTTCACGGTTCGACGTCCATGATTAGCGAGCCGGCATTTCTGCTGCCAAATTACTGCTGTTTAACAGCTCCGACGAGTCTTGGACATTCGAAGCCGATCTCAGCGCTCTCGCAATCTGCGTCTCACTTGCTATCTTCCTCTTAACTTTTGCGAGAAGCGCATTCTAATGCACCGTAGCACGCTTTGAACTTATAGCAATAGATCGCGAAGATCCAGCCGCCAAAGTTTTGTTGATAAATTTTGTGTTCGTGGGTAGTGTAGCTTCTTTCTCCGCAAGCAGCCGTACTTCGTCTTCAGACCATTTTAGCTGAGTGGACGCTACTTCGATGGTTTCATTGTACTCCCTGGTGTGAGCTTGTCTCATATGGCTGGATCTGCCTCTTCTAGATGGAAACACTCGGTCGCATAGTTCACACCTCAACGTGTTCTCATCCATAACCTTCTCAACGTTATCACTTGCATCATCTGTACGATCTTCACCGTCGAACTGAACCGACTCTAGATTGACCGGCGAGGATCCAGGTTTGAGCTTGATATCCTTGGAGTAGACGTAGGTTCCGAAGAAGTCCGCCGCCAGACCATGATATCCGAACTCAACGGTAGCCCCCTGTGAGCGCCGTTTAAGAGACGTCCCAACTTCTGCAACGGTTTGACTAACTTCTACGAGTTAACTTAAGTATATTTAAGTTAACTTTATTATATTTTATTTTATGTTATTTATTTTCGGTTTAAGATTTTCTTCTCTTTTTCTTTATTAAAAAAAGGAAAACTTAAAAACTAGATGTTAACTTAAAATAAGATTTTAAAATTATTGAAAGAAAAGGTTACAACTCAATTTTGTAGCCTAGAAACAATATATTATATTCAATTCACGAACATTGTCAATAATATTAATTACCGGTAGGAAATTAATATAACTGACATTCGAGTGACGAATTTTCTTTCTTTCGTATTTCTGGCGCGTATATTTTTAGAATACGAAAGTCGGAGGTGATGTAATTTGAAAAACTGATTTCATCAACAACTGTGGCGTACAATTTAAACAGTTGTGAAATACGCAGAGAAAACTAACTGCAGCCGTTTTACATATTTTTATCTGCTACTCTCTTTTTA